GCGCAATTGCTGGCTGCAGAGAGCATTGCCAAGCAGCTGGGTCTGCAGGGTCCTTTGATGGAACAACCTCTATATAACCTTTTCAATCGCCAGCGTGTGGAGTTGGAATTCGCTCCCCTCTATGCCTCTGGCCTGGGCTTAACCGTGTATTCCCCGCTAGCCGAGGGGATTCTCGCAGGACGATACAGCAGCGGCGTTCCTGCAGACAGTCGAGCAGCCCTGGTGCAGAGGAAGGGCAATTTGGCCAAGCAGGAACGGGAGATTGCGGCTGCCGAATCTTTGAGACCCATTGCTACAGAACTGAACTGCTCTTTGGCGCAGCTGGCACTGGCTTGGGTTCTGAGCAACAGGAACGTTAGCACCGCAATTATTGGAGCATCCAAGCCCTCGCAGATCTTGGACAACGTGGGTGCTGTGTCATGTTTGTCTCGTTTTGAGGATGACACAGTCCACAGAATTCTCTCAGCCGTTTCCAGTGCTGGAGCAGCCCCTCAGATGGATTCTGACATCTCTGCAGTCATGGCTGGCAGAAAGCTTGCAATGGCAGGGCGTCTTCCACTTTCCAACAAGTCTTGACGCACAGCCAGAGGTGGAACATGGTGGAACATCGATTTGGTTGGACTTCGATGTCGCAGCATGATGCAGCAGTGTAGTGCACCAAGGAGGAGGCCTGAAACTGCGTGTTGGCGGGAAAGGCTGCCACTTTGCTTTTGCCGTCGCAGCGTTTGCGTGCTTGCTTGCGCGTCTGGATGAAGATAGCACTCGTGGCGACAGCAAAAAAGGTAACGCTGAGCTTTCTAAGACCTGGTGTGAAGCAGCATGATTTAGTCACGGCCCGAGGCGGAGTTCGTGCGGCCTGAGCTGAAGTCAGCCTTCAAGGCAAACACTTTGCATTAATCCGAAATGAAGAGCAAATTCAGGTCTCAGCGACTTTGTTTGTGTGTGTATGTCTCTCTCTCTCTCTCTCTCTCCCATTTTGCGCTTTCTGATGCGGGTCTCCCGTTGTTCTCAGCAGTGAAGTACAAGGACACGGCTTTCAAAAGTTGAAGGCACATGCACATTCTCAAGTAGGTGCTTGGCACCAGCTTCGATCAAAATGGCAAGGACTCGGGACATGGGTGGGATCGGTGATCGGTGTCAGCTTCAGGTATTGGAGGCAGCAGAATTACAACGAATTGCAGGAGTTTGCTTCAGTGATCGAGGGCGCGAATGGCTTGCCTTGGAACCGGCCTCAGGAGTCTGAGGAAGGCTCTGTTGATTCATCTTTCTGGATTTCTTCTGTAGGTTCGGTGTCCAGTTCCATCCAGAGAAGAATGCCTTCGAACATGGCCGCGTTTCTCAGCCGGCTGCGCCAGAACAGACTGAGTGACTAGAAGTCTCAGACTGCACAGGGCTGCTCCCAGACGGCGAGCCCGCCATGGCGGCGAAGCACAGCCCAGAGGTCACAGACCCAGAAGTTTGATTTCTTGCTCGGTGGATCTCAGTGCATCTCAGGAGTTCCAAGGTTGTGTAACGAAGGACCTTCTGACCAGAAGCAAGCTCATCTTGAAAAGAGAAACTTCAAGCCTTGACCTTCACAGAAAGAGATGCATCCGGTTCTGGTCATCACCATATCATATCACATGCGGCATCCGGCAACATACGAGGAATTTCAACTGCGGCTCGTGCAAATTCTGGTTCGGCATCTTCCTTGCAATCGCTTTTGACCAAGGTGCTGACTCTAAGCCATGTCCTGTTGACCATCAGCAAGTAGTTTGCCTCTTTAATTTCGACAGAAAAGGGATTGCTCAAAATCTTTCTCGAGATCCTTACCGTGAGAACTTAGCGAGAGGGGCGTGCCATGCCGGAACCTTGATGATTTGAGTATAGATGAATCACATCGAAGTACACAAAGATCCACTCTTAGGATAATGTATGGGGCAGCACATGTGCAGGTGCTGTACAGTGCCAGGTGGGGATGGGTTTGGTGTTCAAAGCTTCTCTGTTCTGGCATGGATGCGAGGCTTCAAATGAGGCTGCTTATGTAAGGACCGGAAAAAGTTCAAAAGATACAGGCGTGCGGGACGCAGGGATTATGTAGGGAGTGCGAGAATCTTTCATTTCAAAGGCCATCGCCGTCACTCAATTCTTTGCAAACTTCTTCGTGCAGCAGGCCACGGGCATAGGCATGAAACATGGATAAGGGATCAGCCATGTTTAAAGGGATTAAATTGCTAAGGCTGAAAAGGATCAACAAGTCTTGGTTTGTAATGTCGAGGCAAGACTGTCTCAGGGAAGGAAACCAGTACTGTAGAAAAACAAAGCCGGTAGGAAGGAAGTGAGAAACTAAGGCAGCAGGGCAGGAAGGAAAGAAGGAAGGAGAGAAACAAGGATCACGTACAGTCAGGGAGAATGAACGTAAGGAATGATGAACAGATAAGCAAGAAACGAACACCAGGTTCTTGCACCCCCTTAAACTGTAACATATGCGCTTTCGAGTCATGTTGCATCTTTGCCTCTGGGGGCCTGGGCCACCAGGCCCCGGGAACAAGGGTGCCCCGAAGGGTGCCCTCTCCCCTTGTTTCCGTCTCTTCTGACTATCCAGCTGAATATGCGTACCTAGCAGAATGTTCAGAAAAGTGTATTCATAACTCGAGTAGGTGCATTGGACGCATGATGGCGCATGTTTGTGCTTTCGGGGATCCTCTGGAGTGCTAACAACAAAAAGTCATAGGGCTCTTTCCAAGACGCGGGGTTTCACGGGCAGCTGAAGTATTTGACCCAACAATTTTGGCAGAAGAGTGCCTCAGGCTTTGCGCGACGACCTGCCCCAATGTCCACGTGTAAGCGGCAAAGCCACAACACCAGATTCAGGTCTGAATCATATCAGAGTTGTTGAGACACTGATCAGCAAATAGGTGCCATGGGCCTATCGATTTTGTTCAAGAGGTGACGCAGTCCTGTTCTTCCTGTTCAACCTGCATGACCGCCGCATGATGGATAAAACTGAGATCTGCAGCTGCACTCATGCAGGCACGTTTGAACTCCCAGCGTTTCGGATCTGAGGGGGAGGAGGTCCCAAGCTGAGATGTTGAGCTACTTGAATTAGCGAAAAGCCCGTTGACAGGAATGACTTCAGTCTGAAGGATGCCCTGCCTGGCTTGCTTTTCATATCCCGGTTTTGGGATGGCGAAACTATGCTTGCTGCTTGCCCACAGTAGCTAGTTAACTGACGCCAATGGCCGCACAAACGCAGACCGCAAAGTGCGGAGGAAGGTGGTGTTGCAGGACATGCGGACTCTCTCTGCCATTCGCCTAGCAACAACAAGCGAGGTTGAGACTTCTAGCGGCAAGCGTAATGGAGGGCCGAACTTTAGGTCTGAGTCTACCCTTCAAGTTTTACTCCCCGGTCTGTAGATGGTAAGCGCTGGAGCTTTTGATCCTGGAGGTGGCGGCAGTGGGAAGGGCATTTGCAGCATGAAGTCTCCTTGATGTCAACTTGTGTTCATAAGAACTCCTGCCTTTGACAAGTCAGCCTCAGATTGTTAACGTATCATTGGGTATCTATCTAGCAAGGCAAAGCACCTCATCTATGGGCGTCAGACCTCTCGGGTGTTGCAGCCCTACTTCGATGAGGCGGGGACCCCCTAGCAGCTGTCAGGGTGGTGGGACAATCCCCATTTGCTTTTTCTCTCGGGGCTGTGTTCATCAGAATAAATATTGTAAGACAAACATATGCACGTGCAGCTAGGACTTGGGCATGGAGAGTCTTCAGAAAACTCTGGCGAAAATGGAAGTGCTGCCGGCCACGCAAAAAAAAAAGCCACACAGATAATAGGAACAAATGCGCCAGTAGCCTATGGACAGCATATTGCAGAGGCCTGCAGAGCTGTGGAGAGCGCGCAATGCATTGCCTGACGACTGACAGAGAGGATCTCGCGGGCCCTGCATCTGTTCAGTCCAGAAGATATCGAAAGAAGGAGAAACCTGAAGCAAAAGTTATGCCATTCGCAATACTGCATGCGCACGTGATCTTCGACTCTTGTGCTGGACCATGGTTGACCTCGTGCAATGCGATATGGCAGCATCCTCTTGCTGCACATAGGTGTCTTCCGGCGCGAAAATGTCCATTTGGGGAATCATGCAACCTGGTGCCCGTGTGCAGTTTCCTATCCAGAGTATGCGTGCCTGAACGCAGAAGATTGTGGACCCCTTACATGCCAGCGTGTAGACACAATCTTGCCATCCTCCGCTGCCCCGTAGTAGTGCTTCATAGGCAAAGACACTTTGTCCAACGAAACAAGGTCCTATCAACCTGACTACCTGCTGCGGACTCTTGATGGGGCAAACGCAGCTAGTGCATCAATCGTGGGCGTTTGCCATCCTGTATGCATGCTGTGGTCGCCAAATCCAAAAACTCGCAGGTCGGAAAGTGCAGTCTTTTGAGTTGGAATTTTTGTGCTCCGGAGATACCTTGTTCCATGGCATCATGCGAAACGCATCAGAGATTTTCTTACGCAAGCATCTGCACAGGTAAGTGCTGCTCGTGAAATGGCAGTTTGTGGCCTTTGTCCAATCCCTGAAGCAGGAACTGTAGAGCCAAATGTCAACATAACCGCAAGCGTGCTTTCAACTACGCAGCCGGATGCTTGGTAATGCTCGGCAGGTTTATCTGTTCGCGGCTCCTGCGGAGAGGAACACCTCCCACCCCATGATGCTGGTTTGAGTGCGCACTTGAAATGTAACATACATCATTGACACATATTGACACGTGTTTCTTCAGGCTCCAGAGTCAAACTCTGCGTGAGCCGTTTTATAGTCAGAGGCTGCCTGAGCCTGGCTCGTTCAAGGTGTCTTCCGGGTTATTGGGCTTTGGACCCCGTGGCCCCTGCACATGTTGCAAAGTAGCTGCAGCTGTGCGCCATACCGTTGTCAGCCATGCAGGGCAAAGAAAAGAGGGGCCTTCCTCTGGTTGCTTGAGCTTCAACGTACAAATGTCAAGTCATATACAGCATCTGCAGGCAAGGCCGTGGTTTCACCTGGCTCACCAACGTTGCCTCGCCAAGAACTGATTCCCATCTGCAAATCAGAAAGAATCAACGTAACTTCTCAGGCACGTTGCAGTCTGCACATTCGTGTCACACCGTGTCAGCTTAGGAATGCTCCATCCTCGTGGCAAAGCCCCGTGGCTGCAGGCCTGGTCTGGGCAAAAGTACATCCCCGGTCCACCAATGGTGGACCAAGGGGTCGGCGGTGTACCTGCTCAGAAGGCGATCAAGCCAATTACACACCACGACTATCATGATTGTGTGCGAGGCAAGTGCTTTGCCACATGCCCTTTTTAGGTTAAACATTGTGAGGAAAGCATGATAAAATGACTGAAGGCCACGGGCCAATACAAAGTGCTGCATCGTTAAGCTGTCAAACGATGCCCTACGGTGGCCTTCAGAAGTACTGTCCAAAGTGTGTAGCAGTGTAGCTGAGGCGGGGGTGTAGTCCGGAAAGCCGATCTGAATCCCCGGTTTAAAGCTTGGAAGCTTGCCTACGCAGGATCTGTTCCTCATCAACCCCAGGGCCGCGAGGCAGACCGGGGTCCCATGGGGTGGCCTGAGAGCATGTGCCATGTCCAAGGACAGCTTAATACAACCCGTTCGACGTGCCCGATCTGCTGGGCGATCTACAGGACATCGGCTAGTTTCCAAGCAAGTGTCAAGGAACAAAGCTAAAGTGAAGGCCCCTCTGCGGATGCCAACAAGGTAGCGTCCGTCCATCGCTTAGCCTTCGTTAGCCGCCTTCATTCGTGGAAGCCTTCCAGGCCTCCATGGCTCGACGGGATTCTCCAGTACGGGCTTCCTCCCCACACGATCCAGGCTGGACGTTTCGCACCGAAAGGAGCAGGCGAAAGGAAGCGAAGCGCTTTCAGGTTCGAAACCGCGGCGAGCATCTCCGCAACGGAAGAAAGGACAGGGTGCCAAGGCCCCTGATCGCATCCTCCTAGACATGCGCTGCAAAGGTGTTGGACGAGAGGCAAGTCGATCACCAGAACCTCCTCGCGCTTGCCCTGCCTGTTTCAACCCTCTGGCAGGGAGGCTGTGGACAGGTATTTCTTGTTAGAAGGCGTGTATGGCCAAACCAAACTGCAAATGTGACTCTGCGACGCTGCGTTCGACAAGGCTAGGCCTCCAGCGGCTTCTGCGCAGGCCGCATCGCCGCATCAGATGCTGAGCTACATGCAGCTCTTTCTACCGTACGGATGTCGATTTTAGAAAGAGCCGTGCAACATGATCTGCACTTCGCGGAGCTTTGTGTTTTGATGTTGACGATTTCGGTTGTTACTTCTGGCCAGGTGTCTGCACCTGCAGAAAAGACAGGAAGTGCAGGTGGCGACCTCAGCAGATTTGCCCTTGTTGTTGCCGCATCCTAGGTTCTCTGAGATAGCTGGCCCAGATTAAGATCATGGTCAGTTCAAGATGTTTGGCTTTAGGAAGCGCAAAGTTTGAGCACCTACATCATGCAGCAAGGGCTGTGAAGAGATCCTAATTCACGCCAGTGACGGCGGCGAGGCTGTGTCTGGCCAGCGCTACGTAGCCATGGCCGCGTCATTTCCTTTGCAGCCTCCTTTGAATGATGCTGCATCATGACGAGGGGTCCGTCGGGCAATCCTACACAACCCCACCACATTGATCCACGTGAGGGCGCAAATGGGAACGACACAAATCTTGCATCGTTCAAAGCAACAGTTTCATCATGGCCTCACGTGCTTGCAGAAAATCTGCATGCAAAATGACACTTACGCAAACATTTGGAATCACACTTGCTCTTTGCATCTTTGTAGCTGAAACAAAGCCAGACTTTGCATTGCTGATTGGCCATGTTACAAGTTTACCAGCTTACGTGGACTTGGGGCAAGAGGGGCTGCAGGTTCACCGCCTGCAGCGACGTCCATGGATTCGGGCCAAGCAGCTCCGTCTTTTGTTGCGGGCTTGAGCTGCAATTCTGCTGGAAGCAGCTGGAAGTGCAAGGAGTCCCTCAATAGCCACGAGCAGCCGCTACGAGGTAAAATCACTGGCACGCCTGGCCCTGGTACTTGAATCCAGCGGACACTCTGGAACCGGGTTGAGCCCCAAGCGTGGAAGCTGCGGTGACCTAGATGCACAACGAGCGAATGAAGACGCTGAGGGCTGCAGCTGCAGCGGCTGCAGTGGCTGCTGCTGTCGCAAAGCAGTCAGACTGTGAATGGATTGGACTGGCGCTCAGCGCATCATCTCTGAAATTCGCAAAGTCACAAACCTGTGCAACGCAGGCGATTTTCAGGACTACTTACAAGAGGCTGGGCTACTGATTTATTCTGTAGACTGTTCAGCGGAATGACTGCTTTTAGATCTTGGAGGGGCTGGACCGGCGACCTCTTGAGCAGGCCACCAGCAATGCTGTGTCCATCGGGCCGTGTGCAAGGAAATGCAGGTTGGAGGTGAGGTACATGGTCTTGTCAAGCCTACTTGAGGCCATGACCACTGGTCAGGTACTTGGTGTTTTCTAACTTCTTGCATCCTGGGGCTTGTGGACCTGCAGCATCCTGCAGCCAAGTGCTTGGGTATGTCCAGCCAAGGTGAGGACGCCCTGCGAGCGAGGTGTGCGCGTTTGGAGCACGAGGTGAGCATGTCTGCCCGCAGTCATTTGCTTTTTGAAGCAAGAACTTCCGGACATACTGAGCCCGGCCGTTGCAGGTGATGGAGTTGCGTTGCTGGCTATTTTCTCAAGACACGCCTCGCGGGGGACAGCAAAGTGCGGTAAAAGCACTGTACATGGAGCTGCCAGGCGAGCGCAGCTTGCACGGCGGCTAGATGCTGCTATGCTGGAGGTGGCTGCTGCGCGACAGGCAGCAGAGACTGCGAATGTGCAGGACCCTGTGCTTGCATCTTTGATCTGAGTGGTCTGAACATGTCTGAACGAGACATGTCACGTGGTACAGGCAGCAGCCCTCAGATCGGAGTTGGCTGCAGTGATCGGTCGCGTCGAGGACCTTTGCAGAACTGCTGGGCAGTAGCCTACTGTAGTGTGCACGCGAATCCGGAAATGGCCAAGGGACTGCACGAAGTCGGGAAGGAATCTTGCGGATCGTAGCAGAGCGTCATCAAGCAAGCTATTGCTTGCCAATCATCCGGACAAATCCTTGCGATCCAAAAGGCAAGAGGCATCAGTGAAGGTGCAACATCCTTGCGTTCCTCAGTGTTCCTTTTCAACCTAGTGATTTTGTTCTTTTTTCAGAACCAGTAGCCCCGCAAGACTCTAGCTCTTGATTTTGGTCCTTTGACAGTGCCAATGGTTCAGAGATGACCTCTCAGCCAGCCCACTCCTGATCTCAGCGAGCCCTTAATTGCATTGGTCAGCGTGAAGCAGTAATCCCTTGCACACGGTGCCTGCAGGCAAAGCCCAACGGATTTCCGGTCGCTGAGGTGCAGTGCGTTGTGAAGTGTCATGGTGATCTCGTGCTGGGCATATGTTAGCCAAGGCTTCCTCATATTTGGCGCGGCCTTTAGCCGATGCCGCCTGAGGCCTTCATTTCGGGACCTTCGACGGGATGAGAGACGTATGTAAGTTCTGCTAAGAATTTGGGGGATGCGAACAAGATCTCTTGGATATTCTGCATGTATGCGAGCCTGATTCAAAATCATCATGTAGGTGTGCTAAGGGACACCAGGCTGAGACTGCTACAGTAAAGACAGCAGTGGCACATTGCTCAAGCTGTCTTGTCTGCATTTCAGCGGCCACTCGCCCTGTGCATCCTTTAAGACTCTGTTGGTTGACCACGTGATACCTCATACACCGCTTGTTTTCACCTGGCGGGTGGGCGCGAGTATCAGAAGCTGGCGGCACTTATGTCACGGCAATGACAGCACACATGCAAGTTACTCTTTCCCATTTTTTGCAAGCCCGCCCATGGCAACAACTGTTGCTGTCGACTAGGAAGGTTCAGGTCGAAAGTTGCAATGAAACTCATTCTTGGACTTGGCATCTCTGAGCCCTGTGAAATTATCTGAGCCCGTGACTTTAATTTCAATCCTGGAATTTCCAGTGGATGAGGCCGTCATCGGGATCACTTGTCAGGGTCACGATCCTGAGTGTGCCTGCTGCTGCTGCTGCTGCTGCTGCTGCTATGATAATGCGTATTGAGCGTGACAGATTTCGAGTCCCGAAGACAGAGAGATGGCGGGTGTTCTTCCTCGACCAACCACCAATACAAGAAATTATCATCGAGTGCATGTTGCAATGCGCAAGTGTTCGGGTTTCAGGTTCGGACTCTTCGGTAAAGAGTGTAGTTTGTGGGGCTTGCTATCCTAGTGTTTTTATGTGTTTTTGTTGCTGCTATTAATACTTGTGTGTGCAACCTGTTGTACCTACAGGAATGGGGTCACTCCCGACGCGCGCTTGCTATTGCTATTTTGTTTGCACGTTGCGGTTGTTTCATTCTGTGGATGTGGAGGTAGAGGGGGGGAGGGGTGGGAGCCCTGTCCAACGAAGCTCCCCCATCCCGTCCCAGGAAACGTACCCACTTTTGTCTGCTCATGGGTTTCTGCGGGAATAGCTTGGGGCATCATTTCGTTCACCCTCATTTCATTTCATGCTGTGCATTTCCCGGTGTGTGGCTCAAGGGGGCAGGACCCTTACCCAAACGTACTCATCTCACTCTGTCGTGCAGGTATGTCACTCATAAGGTCTGGTGTACTTTTGGAGTCAAAGTGACATGCATTTTTTCATGCATGTTTGATTGTGTTATTTGGTCCTGTCTAGGGTTCGGAGCATCAGCACTTGCCTCATCAGAGTGTGCGTGCACCCTGTTGCCAATTCTAGGGATTTTCTTTATCTTATCAAACTGCCCCGGGGCAGCAGCCCATTTCGCTGCGCTGCGCAACTAAGCTATGAGAGATGCGGTGGAAGCAGAATGGGACACTATTCCGCGCAACGTGCACCAGCTGATTTTGAGCTTTTTCTTGTCGCTGCATTGGTTGGAGCACTGGATTACCATCTAGTGCTCATCATCCTGCTTGGACTTGTGGTAAGATGATATTGTTCCGTGTGAAACGGTTCCGTTCAAACGCGGCTGCTCTATTTGCTATTTTCTGTTCGCAGTTCACTGGTTGGAGCACTGGACTACCATCTACTCCTCAGCATCCTGTTTGGACGTGTGGTCACGTTATACTATTCCAAGCGTACGCCCTGTTTGCAGGCCAAAAACTTACCATATCGCAACGATTGTGCGTTGCACTTGCAACGTCACCAAGTGGTCCCAGTGACCGAGTGGGCGAGTCGCCAACTTCCTGTGCGAGAAAGTCTCAAAGTGGCCAATTGCCCGACCGACCAAAGTTGGACAACGGCGGCAAGGGTTTAACGCCGCAGCGTGGCCAGTGGGGCCTAGCGTGACGCCCATGTGTCTTCAGCCCATCGATCGCGAGTTCGGCCACTCGGCTCTGTTCATGTCGGGGCCTGGTCTCGAATGGAGCTCGTGTCGGTTTTGTGGCTTGGCAGGCCTTGCTTTCTCAACATTTTAAACATTCACGCTCGATAATGGGGGCTCTTTATTCTCGCTATTGAGCTGGGGGGTCGTTCGTCTTCTACCTCTTCGTCCTTGTGTTTGTCCTCGTCCCAGTCGTTGTGGTTTACTGTTTTGTGTTATTGTCTTTTATTGTATTTTCCTCGTGCACAGAGGGGTCTGTGTGTGTACAAGGTTGCCAATTTCGTTTGTCAAACTGCAGGGGGCAAGCGGCCCATCTCTCTGCGCTGCTCAACTAAGCTATGAGAGATGCGGTGGAAGCGGAATGGGACACTCTTCCGCGTACAATGCACCTGCTTTATTTGAACTGTTTCTTGTCGCTGTGCATTGGTTGGAACACTGGACTACCATCTAGTGCTCATCGTCCTGCTTGGACTTTTGGTAACATGATACTGTTCCGTGTGAAGCGGTTCCGTTCAAACGTGCCTGCTTTACTCGAATAATATCTTGACGCAGTGCGCTGGGTGGAGCACCGGACCACCATCCAATGCTCATCATCCTTTTTGGACGTGTAATAACGTTATACTATTCCATGTGTACGCCCCCGGCCAAGTATTTCAGAAGTCTGGAAATCACCAGGGTTAATCCCTACTCGGTGTGTAACAACTCTTGACCGGCGAAGGACGGAAATGTTTGCCAATTTGTAAACTCCGGGTGCGAGATGTGTTTGCCTACGAATTTGATCTGCGTATCTCTTGATTGTTCTGCTTGCTTGAAGGATTTGATGGCCACCAGCGTTTAGCTCGCATTTTTTGGAGTCTGAGCCGATAATAGCCGATACATCCTAGCAACATATGATTGGGCAAGCCCATTGCCGAGCAAGGAACCATGCCAATTATGGAATTTCCCGAAATTCTTTTGAAAGAAACGTTGTGCAGCCGCCGACGGAATTGGCTTTGACATGCAGGGCAAGGGTAGCCGATGAACCTTTACCGTACAACTGTGGGATCGTTTGGTTTGATGTTGGGGAGCCTTCAGGAATGCCTGGCGGGATAACACGCGTGCTAAGGGGAGTATCCCGTGCCCTTGCCAAGCAAAGCAAAACAACAAAAATGCCATTATGTTGATAGAAGGGGATTTTGTTGATTCGACCAATCATGTTATTGCTTCGCTATGCTCGGGGTATGGGCTGGCGTGTATTGGCCTTGGGGTGTTCTCGAAGCATGGAAGAAAAGGTCGACTTGAGGGGGAATGCCAAACAGTTCTCATAAACAGGCTGTTTCCATGAACAAGTGGGCTGTGTTGTGGTGCGGTTTTGTTGGGTTGCTTTAGTTGTGGGTTCCTTTGCCCAAATTGGAAGCGCACTCGATGGCTGAGGAAGCCTTAGGGTTCAACACCACGGTTCGTTGCGCAGGCGGTAGACTGCATCTGTTGGGGAAGGTGGCGTCACACATGAGCAGGGATACAAACATGGGAAGGGGGCAAGTGTCCACGGTCAATTTTTCCCCTCCGCACAGACTTTCTTCAATTGTACCACTTTGGACAGCACGGGCTAAGCCCCGGCGCATCCCTCTGAGATGTCGCACGTAACCATGCAAAGCAAAGCAAAAGTGGGAAGACAGCTGTAATTTCAAGATCTTCTGCTTTTGACGGTAGTCTTGGCTGACGTGGAGGGCTTTTGGGTGTAGCTCCAAAACCTCCAAAATTTTCTCTGAGGGAGTGTAAAAGCCTGTAGAAGAAGTAGGCATCTGCAAAGAAGCCAGGAAAAGAGACAGGTGCGGATTCCATCTTTGTAGTTGTGGCTTCCTGCCAGATGTCGCAAGACAGAATGCGCTTCTACGCTGGCCTTGTCAAGCATTCTAGGTACATAATGCGGCTGAGAAATGCTCTTCCTGTTTTTGCCAGGTCATGCGCCCGCTTGGCCTGGAACGCACAAAGTCACGGAAGAGTTGGCATCACGGCCCCAACCGTCAGCTTGAGCTGTGCCGCTCACCAGCGCTAACGTCCCGGAAGCAAAAGTTGGAACTCTTTCAAGCTGCCTGCGCGGTGGTTGATTCTCAATGTAGCACCGCCACAGCTGCCAATGCATTTTGTTTATTGTGTCAGCGCCGACATTGGCTATGCTTTGGCCTCATGCTGCGCCGCTGTCAAGGCAGTACTTACAGTACCAAGAGAACCTATTCCAGTTAGTTACTGATTTCTTGCCAGACCGGACTGTCAAAGTCGAAGCGCCAGTAGTAGATGATTTCAAAATGGTGCGCGATGAGCCTGGGATGAACCGATGGGAGAGGTTGGCCGTGTGCTTTCGCATGCCTTGCTCGACAGTTGCATTCATTAGCAAAGGGCTATTGCGGGCACATTTTGGCAAGTATGAGTCCGCATCAGGCAGCTCCATCTTCATCTTCTGGACTTGGTTCGAAGCATAGCGGCATAGCCTTGGCGATCGTCTCTCAAGATGTCACAGTGCAATCGATGGGAGAAGTGCTCGGCCTGACGTGAAAACTGAAGTAGCCTACCACTAGAATCCAGCAGTGGGTTGTCAGCACACGAATGAGCTTGATCCTGACCCTGCACGATTCGCCTACTCAGGCCAAGCGCAGCCTCCCAAGAAGGATGCCTGGCCAGAGGCAGACGAGCATTTCAGTAGTTCATATTGTTTGTTGTCAGCATGTCTTGGGCTCTTCTGTGACATTGTCAGCATCTTTCAGAGGTTCCAGCATTTGCGGAGCCATCGCCATTCCTGAGATCTGCCGAGCCTCTCTCAGTCACGCAGTTTTATGCTTCTGGCCAAGAGCGGGGTGCCATTTGTCTGTCGAAAGCTAATTTCAACACAGCTTAGTAATGAAAACACTTTGGTGCAACTACAGTGATGTACGGTGCTTAGTGATGCAAGGCCTTGGCCGTCGGCGTGGAGAAGAGACGCCTACGCGAGGGCTATGTTTCGGAAGGCGATTCCCTGCGACATAACATGACATAACGCTGATCATGGCTCCATCGGGCACCTTTGACATCTCGAAGGTCATGTGTAGTAGAAGCAGTTGCATAATTCTCCGGACAATGCCTGGCATATTACGAAAGACAGAGTCTCCCATGTCCAAGCAGGTGCTGTTTCTGCACCGGGCACTTTAGGATGATTCAGGTTGCCAGCCGGGACCGGTACTGGATAGTTCCCAGCTTGGTAGCTGATTGTTGCTGCTTTGGCGGGCCTCGGGCTTAATCGGGCCTTTAACCTTTACGATCAGGCAGCCCAACGAGCCCGGCTTGGAGCATGGGCTAGACGCAAGCGACGCACACGCAAGCTTCAACCCCAAGCAGCCTAGCTAGGAGGAGGCAGGAGGAGGGAATAGGAGTCAGGCTCGCTCAAACAATCCAAATGACACTGTCGCACCGCAGAGGGATCAAAAGGTGTTCATCGACCAGGACAGGATCCCATGTTGGTGCTGCCCTCTGGGGCCCCAGCCCAATCCAAGGAACTCCATAAGCCTGGAGGGTTTGTGTAAAGTAGTGTGGACCTGGCCAGATTTCTGCTTCTTGTTGTTCAGAAGGGCTTGTTTGAGTTGATTTGTTCATCTCGTGGCACGAATTTTGCAGACGGACCGCTCTCTACGTGAGAATTGCAAGCTCTCTTCAAGACTGGAGGCCCCAGCGAATCCTCCGTCAATATTGAAGACACCGAGGATGAGAATCTACAGCTGGAAGCTGAATGCGTGTTAGTTGCATAAGCATACATCGCAGTATTGCAGCAATTGATGGGTCAGAGCGATCAGTGGGAGCAGCGATCAGCAACCTGGCAAGGTCGGCCTTGCCTGGCCTCGAGCACTCCGGGCAGATTTCAAGAATTGCTGGGGCGGTCCGCAATTTCATCCCCAGAACGTATTACGAGGGAAGGCTTCCCTCTGGTAGCTTCCAGAAGTTTGTAGCTCTGAAGTTGAAGTTTGACATGTGCTGTGAGGCAGGACCTCAATAGTCGAAACTGTACAGACACAGACATTGAGATGGTTCGGAGTCAGATATTTGTTGTTTGCTTTTGTTGGCACGGTTCAATTGGGCCCCGAGCCCATGCACCCCTAAATCATTCTAAACCATCCCTACACCAGAAAGTCTCTCTCGAGCCCTCGGACTCAGCAACCCCCAGCAACACCCCTTAATCTGACAAAAAACAACAACACAAATCCCCTAGATCCTGACGTTGAACACCCTACAGGACCCGTCTCACATCGCCGAACATCAAACATCCTAAGATCTCAGAACGCTTGCCGCATGAAACAAGAAAACCATCATCCCATGTAATCCTTCAGCAAACCCTCAAAACAACGTCGAGCCCGAAATCCGTACTGAACCTGAGAGCCTCAACCTGAAGATCCCTTATCTGTCAAATCTAAATCCCAACACCTCGAGCACTTTTTCCAAAGTCACGTGACCGGCATGAGCCCGCTGTGGCTGGTGGGTCGGGTGACCCACGCCATCCGACTTCCAATCCACCAGAAGCTCTGCAGCTGATGCGCGATGTTGGGGCATCTTGAGTTGAATGGCTGAGATACAGGCTGACGACCGTCGCCCGGCTGCTGTCAACAAGCTGGAAAAGCTAGTGAGTGACGGCCAGCTCTGAGTAGATCTGCAAGTTGAAGGGACCGCCTCTAGCCAGTCATGGAGGCCACAGACTCCAGATGACCGCAGAGGGTTTCTGAGGTGTTTCTGATATGGAGAGAGCATGCGAACTGGATCAACTGGCAAGTGGAACTTCAAAGAAAGCTAGACGCAAGCTTGAGTCAATTGCCAGGCGCTTCTATGAGACCATGGCGGCCAAGGCTTGAATGATTTTGAAAAAAACAGCCTCGGAGATGATTTTCGGGGCTCCGTGTCATGAGAGGCGCAAATCAAGCCCGGAGCTGGCTCCTCCTCCAGCTGGGTCGGCTGCACAGAGAACCTGCAAGAAAGCAATCGTACCTTCTACAGCTTGAGATTAGAGATATACTGTTGTTTGAAAATGTTTGAAAGGTTGTTGGTTATGTAACAAATAGCAAGCAAGCGTTCGGCATGATCCAGTGCGATCCAGTTTCATCACCTCTTGCAGGTGTTGTCAATGGCTAGAAGCTACCGCCGGCTATCCAAGGCGCAAACGTGCACAGAGATCGCCAAAGAAACGTGTTCGCAGCATTGTGGTGGTCCAAGGGTCCAAAGCCGAATGCAGGGGCTCGTCAGAGCAGTGTCTTCGTGCCACGCACTAAAAGCAGTCTAGAACTCCTGCGGCCTTGGAGCCTCAACCGCTTTAAAGCGCATGTCCGTTCAGGTCTTGCCTCAGCCAATGCTGAACACCATTAGTGCAGTAGGCACATCAACCTGTGTGAAGAGCTCGGGACCAAACAGAGACTTTCTCTTCAAGAATGCCTGGGCAAAATTCAGTATCATAAATGACTATTGCAGTCTTGCAGTAGAGTAGAGACGCACAGGTGAATGGCCTGCTTTTTGAAACGGCATGCGCGACTCCAATCTCAGCAGAAAGATTTGAACAACCCAACTCTTTTCAAGCCTGTGCATTCCACTTCCAAAGTGAATAAGCAGCTCCCCAAGCAGTCCCAAATGTTTGTGTGCAACATATGATTTGTCGGTCAGAACAGCAGCAACACCTTTTGCCGAACGTAAGTTCTGCCACGTGCAGAACTTATGCATAGCTTAGGTCACAGAGTGGGAACTTTTCATGAGTCAACATCTGTTCAAAAGATGGGCCGGGAAGTGTAGCGCTGATTCGAGAAATCAGCCAACATGCTTGTTGTGGTAGGGCTCTGTGACGCGATAATGTGGAGTCATAGCAATTGGGTTCATGATATGCGATTCGTGGAGTTGCACGTTATTGCGGACTCTTGGACAGCGTCGGCGGAGAAGTTGGGGCAGCGTTAGCGACATCAAATGCCCAGGTTGGCATCCAGGGCTAAAATGCCAACACTTGCTGAACAAAAGTCTCCCGGGGTCCCCGTTCCTGTCCTCATACAAGGCGGGGTGGTAAAGATGAATGCTGACTCTGGGGGTCAACGATTGAAACTATTGAAAAGCGCGGAGACGAGAAAACTGTTGAACTGGTTGAGGCATTGTGGTATGCTGTTAGGGACAGCGATGTGCGTTTTGTCATGGAAGTCTTCAGTCAAGCTCGGGCATCAGCCAGGAGAAGCGGCGACGTGGCCGTTTGAAGGAGACCCAACTGTTTGCCAGAAACGATTGGATTTGCTTGGTGCTGGGCAAGTACAGGAGCTTTTGCAGCCAGCAGCCCAGGGCCTTCGAAGCGCATCAGGCGGTAGCCTTGCAGTCAACCCAGACAATCGAGACTGAGAGATCGAAGAAAGCCTTAGCAGCTATCTTGGACGTAACTTGTGCTTCCAGGTCTGTCCGGGTGAGCACCTGGGCCGGAGCCTTCGTGCCTCCTTGCTGCCTACCCTGTGTTGCAAGACAATGCGGCTGACACGTGGTATCAGGATGGTCTTCAAACACAGATGACAGCGGCTATGAGGCTGGATGGCAAGGTTTGCAGAGATTCCAGACAGACCAGTGCTGTTAGGCTGCATGGCTGCACAGGCTGGGTATGAAACTGACGCAGATGAGTCGGAGCTGAGTGAGTGGGAGAGTGGCAGCGTCCGGCAAGGGTTTGCGGCCAAGCGTGTGTGGCCAGATTCAGGCCACAAATGAGCGAAGGAGTGGCAATCTCGAGCGCTTGCCAACATTAGCTGAGGCACAAACGAAAGCTCGAAGCCCTCGTGCCGAAAGCTCAGTCTGCGCATGCACGCAAATCGTGCATCGCATATTCTAGCAAGAATGAGTGTTGGCGGCTGTCGCTATAGGAACTTGACCAAGCAGATGAGTTTCGCTTCGGAGCTACCCGGTGGGCAAGCGCAGCATGAGGACCTCTAACGGGAGAGCTGTGGCCAAGCAGCAGTCGCCGTTCCTGTTCCCAGGAGCCACTGCCTTTCGGCGAGTCACGGCACGAAGCTCAGTCTTTGATCTCCAAACGGTTTGAGAACGTCCAAAGTGCAGGCCGCCGCCTCCGAAGACTTTGCGAGCACTGGGCACCAGACCCGTGGGACTGCGCCTTTCGCTGCCAAACGGTTCCGGCTCGGCTGTGGTCTCAGCTTTCGTCGTGCTCATCACCATGCCACTCACGCCAAAACGACGTGCTGTCGTTAGTCTACCGGGTACCTAAGCCCGTCTGAAGTGTATACGTGAACCGCGGGGAAAGGGCTTAGCCGGCTTGCCATTTCAAAGTAAATACCCCTCCGTGCTTTGTGCTAGCAAGCGGATTGACTAGCAGAGAGCTGAGGACACCCTTCAGGCCGCAATTTTACTTTGCTGTATGTGGATTAAATCTTGAAGCTGCACAGCATTTGCGTTGCAGTTGTCGCAGCTGATGTGGAGGCACGGCAGCCAGAACAGAAAAGCGGACTGCCTCTCGTGCATCGCTTGGCGCTGTTCATGATGATCGGAAGGGGCTTTGGAGCTGAAAGCTTTGAAGCATTTTTCGCTGGCCCAAGGACAGTCTTCCTGGTCCAAGCCTGCCAGCATTGCCAGTGGATGGGAGCAGCGGTCTCCCAAATGGCGGTTCGGTTGGCCACATCAGCCAGTCCAGGGCATTGTCTCCCAAGCATGAGCACCCACCAGCCACAGCAATGTGGAAAGACGGGCCAGCGCATGGTAGCCATGTTACCATGCCAAGCATGAGCTACTACGGTTTTCCGGACGTGGAGCGCAAGCCCTCGGCAATCAACACACTTTGCATCCAACCTTGGAAAGAGCGGCTCCCAGCGCACAGGGCTCAATGCAAGCTGTAGTTGTGAAGACGCTGAGCTAAGGCTCTTCCCGAAGTGGAGACTGCAGCCATGGAGGTGGCTCGTCACTATTGATTATGAAATGTGGAGAAAGTGCATGTGGCCAACGCAGTTGCAACGCACTTGCAGAATGTCTGCAGAGTACTAGCGCTACTACTGCGAGGTTGGATGAGCTGGATAATGATTCTCATCTGTTAGCAGTTTAGACCCTCGACCAGCAGACCTGTACAAAGACGCTTGAAGCACTCCGTGCTGGAAGCTTCGTTCATCTCCCACGGAACATCCTAAGATGTCCTAAGCACACCTATGAATGACATTGCACCGCTTCTTGCATGGAGAGATCTATCCGTAGGCAGCCTCTGGACCGGACAAAACCCGCTCCGATGTCCCGTGTGTGCATGCATAGTTTGACGGAGCAGAGCTCCGCTTCTGGAAAAGTCTCAAGATAAAAAGTCATCGCGGAAGCTGTTTCCATGAGACAGGGCCACCAGTGCGTCGCCATACTATTTCTGGAGTTCACAATGTCTACGTCGAAGTTTCAGAGGCTGTGGGGGCGCGCGATATTCATGCAGCGCACGTGGGAGCAAGGAGTGTGCAAGAGCTTCAGTCTGAAAGGCAACAGGCATTCATTGCGATTGCACCACCAAGCTATCGCCAAATGTAGGGCAAGTAAAGGCGCAGCTCATGGCCAGCAATGACGGAATCACTTGCAGCGGTGAGGCGATCTCTGCGATCTGAGCGTCTGTCAAACCTCTGCAGAGTCTCTTCAGGCGAAAATCGGCATTGCTGGAGGAACAGAGCCAAGAGTTGAAGAAGGCGTGCCCTCCAGCACACGTCGTTCCAAATTCATGTCTTCGTGCACAGGGCAAGTAAAGGTCTGTGAGCTGTGCTGATGCTAGCTCATACTCATATTAGCTGGTGCCCAGGCAAAGGAGAGACATATCCTCATCTCAACTCTTACAGAAAAGGGAGGCCGATGCGATGTGGTTGGATGTTCGGGATGGCAAGACGTACTGCAGCATTTGAGTTTGCCAGCATGCTCTAGAAATTGCCAAGGCGGATATTTCCTCTGCGGATGGCGCCGAGAGCTTGATCCAGATGGTTGGCATCTCATCGACATACTCTGTAGACATATCTGCAAGCACTTCGGAAAACCTTAAGACAGCGTATAAAGCAGTTGCGTGCCGAGTGGGGAAGTTAGGTTCGATGGACGTCGAGCTCAAGGTGTGGTGCTCGGCTGCTCGCTCATCGCTTGACTTCGGACATGCTCGCACAAGCCGGTCCGGATGAGGACAGACAGAAGTACTCAAGAAGATCTCACGGTCTGCAGCCCCCGATGCCGTCACAGAGCACACTGAACACGCACAGCGAAAAGTGCAGAGCCAGCAGAAGCAAATAGCAGAACCGATAGTCAAGGCTGTCACAGAAGGAGTATGCAGAGATATGCAGAGGAAGGACCAACAGTAGGAAAGTCCACGAGCAGCCCGCACAACAGTGCGCATAGTGCGCAAGAGCAACGGTAAAGCCGGGCCCGCGACCTTTCTTCCCAAAGGAACAGAAGCCAGGTGACACATGTGACACGGAGCTTCCCCCTTGCTTCTTCCATAGCATATTCTCATGCTGCCCCCCCCCCGGCCTCTGAATAAGAGGAGTACATGCCGGCTTGTTTTTGCACTGTTTGCCCGTGCCGTGGCATGCCAGCAATGCACTGGCGCTGAGGGGACTTTGAGGTGTGACTGTATGGATTGATGAGCGATTGTTTTAGGTATTGCGGCAACCGTCAATTGCCTCCATAAGTTTGGAGGGAATGAGAGAAACGAACGCAAGATGGATTGCCTTCGAGTAATGGACTATTTGACCTGATGGCTTTTCTCGTGTGAAGCAGCTTTCGTCAGATACCAGGATGATGGGTAGAGGGATACATGCGAATAGACATCAGCAGCCCGGCAGCTACAGCTACAGAAAGGGAACAGAGTGTTGTAGACGTTCGAGTCTCGCTGAGGAAGTTTAAGCAACCTCCACAGGAGATTCGAAGCTTAGGCTGCCGTCAGCCTGTGTCTACTGACTGCTTACAGACATGCGAATGCATAAGACAGAATCTTCCGGTTTGTGGTGGTTTCCAGGTGCAAAAACCCCGAAAAGCGGATCCGTCGGACAGCAAATCCTCGGCTTTTTAGTGGTTCGGGGATTGTTGATTGTGTTGGTCGGGTAGGGAGGGAGCCGGGAGACTTAAATGCAAAGCTTTACGAGAATAGGTGAGTGTTCATCAGGAAGAGCGGCTTAATTGAAACTGGACTCCTGGTACCAACGGCAATGGTGACAACGTGAGAATGCTGCAGATGATGGTGACAGATGACAATGATCACCATGTTGTATAATGAGTTATAGCCATTGCAGCCATGAGCGTGACATGACATGATAGACTCAACGTAAGAGGTGGCAGATGACTTTGACGATGCTTCTGATTCCATGCGGCCTATGATTGGAAAAATACATCGACATGACAATCCGATCAACGTTTCCCTCCTCAGCTGCTGCTGCCGCATCATCGTAGTAGTTGTCATCAACAGCAGCATCAGTATCATCATTTTTTTCTTCTTCGTTGTCTTCATCATCGCAGATCATGTCCATCATGGGATCCCTTTCTTATGAGCGTCGCCCCGAGGACATCTCGCTGTTCCATAATGTTGCACGGTTGCCCATTTCATCTCTGGCTTCGTGTGTATCCCTCTCCTCCTCTTTCTCATCGTTGCCCTTCTCACTGCCATCGGCACCACCAATCTTATCTAATATTGTTTACCCTGTATATCAGCCTCTTTGCTTGTTCCAGGGGTTAGAGGGTCAGAAGCTATATATAAAATCTTGGAAGCTATATATAAATTTTGGAAGCTACATATAAATTTTGGAAGCTATAGATAAAATCTTGGAAGCTATTTATTACTGTAATATGTAGCGGGAAGCGGTTCCGGACTATTTATAACCGCTCCCTGGGCCAGCCGCTATTCGAAGCTATTTGAAACTATTCATGTTTTCAGGTTATACATAGCTGGAAGCGGCTTGAAGCGGCTCCGGACTATTTATTAAATAGCCGCTGGGTGTCACAAACTTGTTTTTAATTAGCTTCTGGGATTTATTTATAAATAGCATCTGGGATTTTATAAATCGCTTCTG